GGTAGAGCATCACACTTGGGGATGGTGGTAGTGTGCATCACACTTGGGGATGGTAGAGCATCATACTTGGGGATGGTAGAGCATCATACTTGGAGATGGTAGAGCATCATACTTGGGGATGGTAGAGCATCATACTTGGGGATGGTAGAGCATCATACTTGGGGATGGTAGAGCATCACACTTGGGGATGGTAGAGCATCATACTTGGGGATGGTAGAGCATCATACTTGGAGATGGTAGAGCATCACACTTGGGGATGGTAGAGCATCATACTTGGAGATGGTAGAGCATCATACTTGGGGATGGTAGAGCATCATACTTGGGGATGGTAGAGCATCACACTTGGGGATCGTAGAGCATCACACTTGGGGATGGTAGAGCATCATACTTGGGGATGGTAGAGCATCACACTTGGGGATGGTAGAGCATCATACTTGAGATGGTAGAGCATCATACTTGGGGATGGTAGAGCATCATACTTGGGGATGGTAGAGCATCACACTTGGGGATGGTAGAGCATCATACTTGGGGATGGTAGAGCATCATACTTGGGGATGGTAGAGCATCACACTTGGGGATGGTAGAGCATCATACTTGGGGATGGTAGAGCATCATACTTGGGGATGGTAGAGCATCACACTTGGGGATGGTAGAGCATCATACTTGGGGATGGTAGAGCATCATACTTGGGGATGGTAGAGCATCATACTTGGGGATGGTAGAGCATCACACTTGGGGATGGTAGAGCATCACACTTGGGGATGGTAGAGCATCATACTTGGGGATGGTAGAGCATCATACTTGGGGATGGTAGAGCATCATACTTGGGGATGGTAGAGCATCACACTTGGGGATGGTAGAGCATCACACTTGGGGATGGTAGAGCATCATACTTGGGGATGGTAGAGCATCACACTTGGGGATGGTAGAGCATCACACTTGGGGATGGTGGAGCATCATACTTGGGGATGGTAGAGCATCATACTTGGGGATGGTAGAGCATCATACTTGGGGATGGTAGTGCATCACACTTGGGGATGGTAGAGCATCATACTTGGGGATGGTAGAGCATCATACTTGGAGATGGTAGAGCATCATACTTGGGGATGGTAGAGCATCATACTTGGGGATGGTAGAGCATCATACTTGGGGATGGTAGAGCATCACACTTGGGGATGGTAGAGCATCACACTTGGGGATGGTAGAGCATCATACTTGGGGATGGTAGAGCATCATACTTGTGGATGGTAGAGCATCATACTTGGAGATGGTAGAGCATCACACTTGGGGATGGTAGAGCATCATACTTGGGGATGGTAGAGCATCACACTTGGGGATGGTGGAGCATCATACTTGGGGATGGTAGAGCATCATACTTGGGGATGGTAGAGCATCATACTTGGGGATGGTAGAGCATCACACTTGGGGATGGTAGAGATCAACTTGGGGATGGTAAGCATCATCTTGGGATGGTAGAGCATCATACTTGGAGATGGTAGAGCATCATACTTGGGGATGGTAGAGCATCATACTTGGGGATGGTAGAGCATCATACTTGGGGATGGTAGAGCATCATACTTGGGGATGGTAGAGCATCACACTTGGGGATGGTAGAGCATCATACTTGGGGATGGTAGTGCATCACACTTGGGGATGGTAGAGCATCATACTTGGGGATGGTAGAGCATCATACTTGGAGATGGTAGAGCATCATACTTGGGGATGGTAGAGCATCACACTTGGGGATGGTAGAGCATCACACTTGGGGATGGTAGAGCATCATACTTGGGGATGGTAGAGCATCATACTTGTGGATGGTAGAGCATCATACTTGGAGATGGTAGAGCATCACACTTGGGGATGGTAGAGCATCATACTTGGGGATGGTAGAGCATCACACTTGGGGATGGTGGAGCATCATACTTGGGGATGGTAGAGCATCATACTTGGGGATGGTAGAGCATCATACTTGGGGATGGTAGAGCATCACACTTGGGGATGGTAGAGCATCACACTTGGGGATGGTAGAGCATCATACTTGGGGATGGTAGAGCATCATACTTGGAGATGGTAGAGCATCATACTTGGGGATGGTAGAGCATCACACTTGGGGATGGTAGAGCATCACACTTGGGGATGGTAGAGCATCATACTTGGGGATGGTAGAGCATCACACTTGGGGATGGTAGAGCATCATACTTGGGGATGGTAGTGCATCACACTTGGGGATGGTAGAGCATCATACTTGGGGATGGTAGAGCATCATACTTGGAGATGGTAGAGCATCATACTTGGGGATGGTAGAGCATCACACTTGGGGATGGTAGAGCATCACACTTGGGGATGGTAGAGCATAATACTTGGGGATGGTAGAGCATCATACTTGTGGATGGTAGAGCATCATACTTGGAGATGGTAGAGCATCACACTTGGGGATCGTAGAGCATCATACTTGGGGATGGTAGAGCATCACACTTGGGGATGGTGGAGCATCATACTTGGGGATGGTAGAGCATCATACTTGGGGATGGTAGAGCATCATACTTGGGGATGGTAGAGCATCACACTTGGGGATGGTAGAGCATCACACTTGGGGATGGTAGAGCATCATACTTGGAGATGGTAGAGCATCATACTTGGGGATGGTAGAGCATCATACTTGGGGATGGTAGAGCATCATACTTGGGGATGGTAGAGCATCATACTTGGGGATGGTAGAGCATCATACTTGGGGATAGTAGAGCATCACACTTGGGGATGGTAGAGCATCACACTTGGGGATGGTAGAGCATCATACTTGGAGATGGTAGAGCATCATACTTGGGGATGGTAGAGCATCATACTTGGAGATGGTAGAGCATCATACTTGGGGATGGTAGAGCATCATACTTGGGGATGGTAGAGCATCACACTTGGGGATGGTAGAGCATCATACTTGGGGATGGTAGAGCATCATACTTGGGGATGGTAGAGCATCATACTTGGGGATGGTAGAGCATCATACTTGGGGATGGTAGAGCATCATACTTGGGGATGGTAGAGCATCACACTTGGGGATGGTAGAGCATCATACTTGGGGATGGTAGTGCATCACACTTGGGGATGGTAGAGCATCATACTTGGGGATGGTAGAGCATCATACTTGGAGATGATAGAGCATCATACTTGGGGATGGTAGAGCATCATACTTGGGGATGGTAGAGCATCATACTTGGGGATGGTAGAGCATCACACTTGGGGATGGTAGAGCATCATACTTGGGGATGGTAGAGCATCACACTTGGGGATGGTAGAGCATCACACTTGGGGATGGTAGAGCATCATACTTGGGGATGGTAGAGCATCATACTTGGGGATGGTAGAGCATCATACTTGGGGATGGTAGAGCATCACACTTGGGGATGGTAGAGCATCACACTTGGGGATGGTAGAGCATCATACTTGGAGATGGTAGAGCATCATACTTGGGGATGGTAGAGCATCATACTTGGGGATGGTAGAGCATCACACTTGGGGATGGTAGAGCATCACACTTGGGGATGGTGGAGCATCATACTTGGGGATGGTAGAGCATCATACTTGGGGATGGTAGAGCATCATACTTGGGGATGGTAGAGCATCATACTTGGGGATAGTAGAGCATCACACTTGGGGATGGTAGAGCATCACACTTGGGGATCGTAGAGCATCATACTTGGAGATGGTAGAGCATCATACTTGGGGATGGTAGAGCATCATACTTGGAGATGGTAGAGCATCATACTTGGGGATGGTAGAGCATCATACTTGGGGATGGTAGAGCATCACACTTGGGGATGGTAGAGCATCATACTTGGGGATGGTAGAGCATCATACTTGGGGATGGTAGAGCATCATACTTGGGGATGGTAGAGCATCATACTTGGGGATGGTAGAGCATCACACTTGGGGATGGTAGAGCATCATACTTGGGGATGGTAGTGCATCACACTTGGGGATGGTAGAGCATCATACTTGGGGATGGTAGAGCATCATACTTGGAGATGGTAGAGCATCATACTTGGGGATGGTAGAGCATCATACTTGGGGATGGTAGAGCATCATACTTGGGGATGGTAGAGCATCACACTTGGGGATGGTAGAGCATCATACTTGGGGATGGTAGAGCATCATACTTGGAGATGGTAGAGCATCACACTTGGGGATGGTAGAGCATCATACTTGGGGATGGTAGAGCATCATACTTGGGGATGGTAGAGCATCATACTTGGGGATGGTAGAGCATCACACTTGGGGATGGTAGAGCATCATACTTGGGGATGGTAGAGCATCATACTTGGGGATGGTAGAGCATCATACTTGGGGATGGTAGAGCATCACACTTGGGGATGGTAGAGCATCACACTTGGGGATGGTAGAGCATCATACTTGGGGATGGTAGAGCATCATACTTGGGGATGGTAGAGCATCATACTTGGGGATGGTAGAGCATCACACTTGGGGATGGTAGAGCATCATACTTGGGGATGGTAGAGCATCATACTTGGGGATGGTAGAGCATCATACTTGGGGATGGTAGAGCATCACACTTGGGGATGGTAGAGCATCATACTTGGGGATGGTAGAGCATCACACTTGGGGATGGTAGAGCATCATACTTGGGGATGGTAGAGCATCATACTTGGGGATGGTAGAGCATCATACTTGGGGATGGTAGAGCATCACACTTGGGGATGGTAGAGCATCATACTTGGGGATGGTAGAGCATCACACTTGGGGATGGTAGAGCATCATACTTGGAGATGGTAGAGCATCATACTTGGGGATGGTAGAGCATCATACTTGGGGATGGTAGAGCATCACACTTGGGGATGGTAGAGCATCATACTTGGGGATGGTAGAGCATCATACTTGGGGATGGTAGAGCATCACACTTGGGGATGGTAGAGCATCATACTTGGGCTGCACGGGTGCATCATACTTGGGCGGCAGGGGTGCATCATACTTGGGCGGCAGGGGTGCGTCATACTTGGGCGGCAGGGGTGCGGAGGGCGAGGAGGCAGAGATGGTGGAGAGCACAAGGAGATGCGAGGCGTGTGGCTGCACCTGCTGCTTCAACTCCTGCGACTCCAGCTGCGACTCGTGCATGTGCTCACACACGCACATGCACATGCGCACATGCACACACACGCACGCACGTACTCCCACACATACATGCACATGGACACACCCGTGTGCACACACACACACACACACACACGCACACACACACACACACACACACACACACCACCAGCACCAGCACAGACATGAAAAAAGACACAAAAAGGTGTGCATTTATCCGTGCATCCATGTGCCCCACACTCCTCTCTCTCTCAAGCGGTCCGTTTATCGCTTGGAACCTGGGTACAGGCTAGGCAGGCAGAAGGCAACGAGACAAGGTACGTGCATGTTTAAGGGGCCCAAGCCTACTCGAGCTCCCCTAGGGGCTCTGCCACGGCAAAGCAGTCCCCTAGAGCCATGTCGGCGTCGGGGGTATCCACGGGGGTGTGGGGGGCAGGGGAGGCTTCGTTAACTTTGCCCAGGTAAGCCAAGGCCTGCGCCCGCTGGAGCGTCACGGACCAGCGCTGGCGGAACTGATGGAGCAGTTTTGCTGCTTGGTAGGAGCTGGGGTCCGCATTGAAGAGCCTCCTGGCCCCTGTGTCCGCCAGCAACTTCAGGAAGGTAGGGACTTCGGCGCAGGGGCAGCCGTATGTCTCGACCGCCAGTGGGAAGAAACCAACATAGGGAGCCCGGTTGCGGTAGTGGTAGATCTTCTTGTCAGCTTGCTCTCGGGCCATGTATCCTCGTCCTGTCCGTGCATCCGGGTCCCGGCTGCTGATGGGGTCTGTGACGGTGACGTCGCAGATCCAGACGGCGCCGGAGCTGCGGTCGCGAATTGCGAGGTCGGCCTTGTGGCCGTCGACAGGGCTGTAGATGGTTGTCTCCTTAGTGACTATGAAGTCAGCATCCCGGGCCATCCAGATGCTCTCATCCCGCAGGGCATCATGGGTGTCTGTCCGCCCGTGCCCAGTGCCACACCGAAAGAGGTGATTGGGCAGCCGTGTGTCAAGGATTTCGAATTCCTCGGCGCAGTTGCAGTTGCGGGGGGCTGGGAACGGAAGGCCGAAGCGGAAGGCCAGGGCAATGGCGAAGTGTGGGGCTTCGAGGCGGAGGGAGGGGAGGATGGGAATGGCATGGATCCAGTCTCCTGCTCCGTACCCGGCCAGGGAGAAGAGGCGTTGCGTGTGGCCGGAGTATGGGTTTGGGTCCATTGCCCGCGATGCTGCCACTTGGTCGGCGTATCGCATGGCCTGAACCTCGAGGGACAAGCGGTGTTGGAGAGGGGAGCCCGAGGGTTCACCTCGCTCGGATTGTAGAAGCTCCAAGACCCGCCGGGGCAGCGCCGATTCACACCTCGCCAGCCAGGTATGCAGGTGGGTGGGGCTGGTAAAGGGTGGTGTGAGGTGGCGTACCGAGTCGGCCAGGGCCCTCTGGTCGCCGCTGGGAGGGCAGCTAGGAGGCCTGAGCTTGGGTGACGCTAGTGAGAAAAGCCGGATGCCCTTCAATCGCTGGATCGGTGAGGCCCAGCCCTCCGAGAGAGAGAGGGAGAGATGCCTGGGCCCAAATACGCGCCCGCTCCGACTCACCCCGAGGTGGCTAGAGGTTGCAGGCGCGTAGTAGGGTGTGAAATAGCTCCCTGCCCCACTCGGACCAAGCCTCCAGGGGCAGGAAATCCAGGGGGGTGGTGCGGGTTAGGTACGAGACACGCCTGGACACGCAGCGTGTGAGGAGGAGGGAGGAGGACTGGGGGTCCATCGTGGCCAGTGTGGCGAGGGGTTCGGCGAGCACGGCCAGCTGGGTGCGGAGGAAACCTGCTGTGCCTTCTGGTGTGCCTATGAAACTGCCCAGCACGTTGAAGGGTATGTCTGGCGGAAGGCAGTCAGGCGCGGCCCGCGGGGCGCTCGGCGGACCATGCCACGCATTTTGCGGGGTTGTCGGAGAGGCCGATGCGTTCCATGGCGGCCGTGAAGTCTAGGAACGCCGAGGTGCAGGCACCGGGGTCGCCTACGAAGGTCACATCGTCTGCGTAGGCGAGGCAGAGGACCCCGGGGTGGGCTGCCGCGGTGGCCTGGAGCGCAGGGTGGATGGCAGCCGCAAAGAGGTAAAACAGGGACGGTGCCCCATACGAGAATTGTATGAACGGTAGAAGGGGGCGCAGGGGTGAGTGATTGATGGCGTAAATGATAGCCCCACAGTCAACATTGTTGAACCCGTTTGAGAGATCGACCTGCAGGATCAGCGATCCCGGGCGCGCGGAGGTGAAGCCCCTGGTGGCGTGGATGATTATCTCTCCTCCACCCCTGACTGCCGCCCCGAATTGGTGTGGGAGGAAATAGACTTGTGCCGGTTGTGTTGAGTGCGGATTTAGCCGCCAGTCGATGCAGGCACTCGCCGATAGCGATGGGGCGAGTACCTCCATCTGGTTTGGTGAGTGCCAGGAGGCGTGAGGAGGTTAGGAGCTCGCTGACCTCGTGCGGCAGATCTGGTCGAGCTCGTGGAGGTGCCTGGCGACTGAGGGGTTGGTGAGCGAGGCATCGCGAAGATGCTCGAAAGTCATTCCTGATGGCCCCGCTCCAACCCCATTTTCGCAGCGAGAGAGGAGCTTCGCGAAATCAGCGAAGTCGATTGTCGGCGGTCTGTTGTCCTCGCCCAGCTGCGGCCAGTTAAGGTCTTCGGCTAGCTGGTGGGGGTGTTTTGACTTCAGCGCATCCAGGACAGCAGGGGTGGACTCGCTGACTGGGGTTGAGGTCAACGCGAGCAGAGCTCGTCGCAAGCTACCACGTCGCACCAGCCCCTCGGCTCGGGATATTTTCCGGAGGGTGTCAGGTACGTGGCGGGGTGGGGGTGGCAGGGTAACCGCAGATGCAGCTGCTTGGTACAGAGCGTCCCATTGGCCCGTGAGGAATTGTCGCAGGCGTTTTTCTGCCGCGGGCCAATCGGGACGTCTAGGTGAAGGTAGGCGAAGGGTGAGACGCGGGAGGTAGAGTAACAGGATCCAACCTTCAGTGGAGGTTGGATTTTTGGCGAGGAAAAGAAGGGGTGTCAGCAGGGCGAGCGCGAAAAGTTGACGAATTTGGGGAGGTAACCGGCGGGAGAGCGGGGGTTGGCGGCTGTCGCATAGTATTGCGATGTCCCAACTGACAATCCCAGCGAATCTGGAGGCGTCGTTCGCCAGCTCTTCTGGGGACAGCTGCGGAGCTGTGTGGGGATGGGTGTCCAGCGGTACCCGTGTATTATTCATGCTGCTGGACCTTCGTCACCCAGATCTGTGGGTTGGGCCCGCAGTTCCCCCTCTTGAACGTCTGTCTGTCTCCACGCCTCCTTCCTCACTAGAGGCGTCAGTTGTAGACTCCCTCTGCTACCCAGGTACATAAGTTCCATCGGCCCTTTCCTCTTCACCTGTAGTTCCTTGTAGACCCAAGGCTCTTAAAGCCCTGGTCGCGGCCTGCTGGAATCCGTTCAGCGGACCTCCGTCGCAGGACAGATCGCCTCGCCTGGATTGCCCGCGTCCGCGACCCGTAGTTGCCCGCCCAGCGTGTCCCCTGCGCCCTCCTCCTCGCTCTCCCCTCGGGGCTACCCTGCTCGCCTTCCGTTGTTCGTGTCGGGTCGTGGGTGGAGCTGAGCGCGGCGCGTCGTCTCCTGATGGACCAGCCATCGGGGTTCGAGCTGGGCCGGCCCGTTCGTGAGCGCTCTGCCGATTTGGAGAGCTCTGGAGAGAGTGCGCCCCCCCAAGGTCAGGCGAGTCCTCCAGCCAAGTCGAACCGTGATTGGGAGCGTGGGCTCCCTGTCCCCTCGTCAGCCCGCCAGCAGACCCGCGAGCGGATGCGCGGGCGATCGCGGAGTCGGCCGTCCGCTCCGCAGAGGCGCGAGGAGAAAACTCCCGAGCGCGCCCTGGAGGCCGGTCGTGGGCCTGCGATGCACGGCGAGGCGCGTCAGCAGCCTCACCTGCAACATCCTCCTCGCCGTGGGACGCCCCCGCGCCGCCCGCAGGCGCAGCCGGCGCAGCAGCACCGGACTCTGCAGGCGCAGCGTGGGCGTTCTGGCCAGCGCCTCGGCTGGAGGGCCGGCGGGGGGAGTAACCGCGGATCGGCTGCGGAGAGGCGTTTAGGGCGAGCTGCCGCGACACTCGAAGGCCTACTCCGGGCTGTCGCCCAGCCCCAGCAGCCAATGGCGTATCCCCCCCAGCATGTATCATCGCACCAGTACCACCCCGAGCATCAGCAGCAGGCGCATTTCCCGCCGCAGCAGGTGTCGGCACATACGTCGCCACCAAACTGCAGTGCCTCCACTGCTCCAAAACAGCCAGCAGCTGCCACCGCCTCCTCCGTCCGCGCATCCTCCACCAAACTTCCCCTCTGCTGCCCTTCTCGTTCCGCACCAGCCACAAGTGGCGCCTCGAGTCGAGCCGTACCCGCTGAACGCGCGGTCCGCGGAGGTGCCGCCGCGCTGGCTGCCAGCGCCCCTGGAAGCATCGGTGGGAGGTTGGCCCAGTGGCCGGCCGCCGCCGGTGGTGCCAGCGTCCTTCGGCGATCTGGCGACAGCGCCCTTTGTCCCCCCTCGTCGACCGGAGTTGAGGGGGGGGAAGAAGCAGCGGAGATGGGGGGGGCTGAGTCCACCGGTGAGGACTCTCCTCCTGGGGACCAGGGGCGGCGTCGTTCTGCTGGGCTGCGGATGCTGCAGAGAGCGCAGCTGGAGCGCCTGCGTGGGAGGGAGCGCCTGGCGGATACTGCGATCCCAATCGCCACTCTTCGTCGGCTCTGGCACGCGCAGCGGGCGATGGGGTATGTTGTGGAGATGCTGACGGACTCGCACTCCGTTCTACGGAGCTCAGCGAGCCCGTGCAAGATGCCCCACGATCCTCTCCACCGCTGCGCGATGGCTGCAGCTGATCTGGCAGTCGTGTCACCGCGAGTGCAACCTGCACCCACCCCGGGAACCGTGTTGGACCCGCGCCTGCTCGCCGTGATGCGGGCAGTATCGGCGAGCATAGACTCGGCTGCAGCTGTAGACATCGTTGGCGGCGCCGTATCAGCGCTGATGCTCCTGGTGGGCTATGTGGCGGCCTTGCTGAAGGAAGCTGGAGCGGACCAAGTCGCGTGACGGGCTCCCGTCGTGTGTAGGTCCGCGTTGGTGAAGTGCGCGCTAGCGTGAGCGCTCTGGTAAGCTCGGCGAGGCTTTCCATGCCTCGTTAGAAGTGTGGTTGTTGAGCACCACACTACGTGACCGCAAACGCTCTGGCGGGGCAGCGTTTAGCGTTTAAACGCTGCGCTTAAATGCTAAACGCAAAACGCTCGCGTAAACGCTAAACGCTCGGGCAAAATTTTAGGGGCAGCCCGGCCAAAAATTCGATCAATTTTTTTCCGCGACATTGCGACTTGGCGAGTCCAACCAGACATTTGCCAAATCGCAAATCCCAGCCTAACGAAAAAAATACATCCAATCCTTTTGCCCCGCTCAACCGCACAGCACCCTGTTCATCAACGACTTTCACTCCAATCTAACCACTTTCTCCCCTCCTTCCGTCACAATCTCTTTCCCGTCAAAAACGGGAACCCTAGAGATCCGCGCGCCATAGCCGTAGCTCAGATCCAGTCCGATTCTCTCACCTCCCACCCTGGCCACCTAATTTCCACTCAGTTAAGGGCCCACGCCCATGTTGACCCCCCCTAATGCTGCAGACACTAATCCTACAACGTCTGCAACATCTAATATTTACGATACCAACAACGTCTGAGCCAGAGTCTAATCACGATATTGGAGTAAATAAATTGTATACCATAATAATCCCCTTGCCTCCCCCCACCGATCCCAGGTTTTTTTCCCCTGCCCGGGGGAAATTTTACGGCTGCCCGAACGTGCCTTTACCCTAGCTTTTAGAAACCCAAGAAGGCGCGTTTACCGTTTAAACGCTAACATTTAAACGCTTCGTTTAAAACGCTAAACGCGTTTGTGGTCACGTAGGCACCACAATAGCCAGCTAGGGGGATTGTGTAGTTTGTATTGTTGAAGTTGCAAACTTGGTGTTGCTGTTGCCTTGCCGTCCCCTAACGCGCGGCAGAAGGCCGCCAGCGCGAGCCGCCACCAAGGGAAGGAGAATCTAAAAAACAGAAAATTAAACTAAGAGAATGAGCTGGAGAGAGGGGCTTAAATAGCTGGAGGGAGACTCATGGTCTCTCTCTCTCTCTCTCTCTCTCTCTCTCCCTCCCTCCCTCCCTCCCTCCCTCCCTCCCTCCCTCCCTCCTCCCTCCCCCTCCCTCCCTCCCCCTCCCTCCCTCCCTCCCTCCCTCCCTCCCTCCCCCCTCCCTCCCCTCCCTCCCTCCCTCCCTCCCTCCTCCCTTCCCTCCCTCCCTCCCTCCCTCCCCTCCCTCCCTCCCCTCCCTCCCTCCCTCCCTCCCTCCCTCCCCCTCCCTCCCCTCCCTCCCTCCCTCCCTCCCTCCCTCCCTCCCTCCCTCCCTCCCTCCTCCCCTCCCTCCCTCCCTCCCTCCCTCCCTCCCTCCCTCCCTCCCCTCCCTCCCTCCCTCCCTCCCTCCCTTCCCTCCCTCCCTCCCTCCCTCCCTCCCTCCCTCCCTCCCTCCCTCCCTCCCTCCTCCCTCCCTCCTCCTCCCTCCCTCCCTCCTCCCTCCCTCCCTCCCTCCCTCCCTCCCCTCCCTCCCTCCCTCCCTCCCTCCCTCCCTCCCTCCCTC